TTGTATCTTGTATCGAACTGAAAAGGGAAGAAGACAAACCCCAGAAAGTTTAACTATGTAGCAAACGGTATGAGTGTGTCTTAAAAATGGAGCTTATGAGTACAGCTGGTGTAAGTTACCTGTATAGAGTCAGGACTGGTGGAAGGAAAAAAAACCAAAACATGAGGGTCTTGGAAAACCTGAGTGAGGGCTTTGTATACGTCCCACTACCAACCTGGACATTGGATGGCTTTACAACCCTTGTAGATAATGCCCAATAGATAATGCCTCTGGCTGGACTCCGGATATTGTTAATTCTGATACTCACAACTGGTCTTTGTGTGATTAACAGGTTAGTAACAAGCGGTTAGTAAAGGGCGGTCCGAGTACTGGTTCTCAGATCTCAGTATCAGCCCATAGATGAAGTTAATATAAAACTAGATATCAAGGGACCGTGATTGGCCCCCTTAGTCACTAGTAGAGGGGAGAATGTGAAGCCTAAACAAAATACAGCAATTTTAGGTTTGGATTCGTTTTGTCTGGGAAATGTGTCAGCAACCCCTTGATCCCCTTGAGCCCAAATTCTTTTTTTTATTTTATTTTATTTATTTATTTGGGTCCGGTTGTGGGGCTGAACTCTGGGCCTGGGCACTGTCCCTCAGCTCTTCAGCTCAAGGCTAGTGCTCTACCACTTGAGCCACAGCGCCACTTCCGGCTTTTTTCCTTTTGCTTATGTGGTGCTGAGGAACCGAACCCAGGGTCTCAGGCATGCAAGGCAAGCGCTCTACCACTGAGCCACCTTCCCAGCCCGAGCCCAAATTCTTTATGGTAATTTCCACTAACTACATATAATCAGGCGATAACAGGAAAAACCCAAAGTTCCAGATGCTCCTGCAAGTTAAAGACTACTCGGTCACGGTTTAGACCATCTGGTTTAGCCAATCATTTTGAAGAGCATCAACCCCATGAACCAGCCAATCCCCAGTACCTGGTCAGTTCCAGCCACCGGTTATGCTAATCATCTTTTAGAATTATTTTATGATTTTCCCATTGGTGTGATATGATTTAAGTGTTGCAATGATACATAGAAGTCCCTAAAAGCCCTATAAAAACCCTGCTAGAAGAAGGCTCTGGGCTCTCAACTCTGACTGGCTGCATCGGTGATGGTTGTCTGTGGGGATCCTTATCGGGGCATAAGAACAGTGTTGGACAGGTCAGGATTTGCTGGGAGCTGGACTTGCAGGCCTAGCAGAATATATCAGTGTCACTGGATGCCAAACAGTAATGCATTAAATCAACGATAACCCTCTTCTCAACAAAAAGCAAATAGAAAGAAAAGAAATATGTGGAACATGGTGGCAGATGCCTGTAATCCGAGCACCTGGGAGGCTAAGGCAAGATATTTACTTCAAGGACCTAGACTACACAGTGAGACCATGTCTCAAAAAACAAAACAACAACTACAAGGAACTAATGACAAAAAGGAAATATAGCTTCTCAAGATACTAAGATCTGGAGGATGATGGTTTGAGGGCAGTTTAGACAGAAAAATTAACTACACTCCATCTCCAAAATAACTAGCAAAAGGGATGGATGTATGGCTCAAGTGATGAGAGGGCTAGCCTAGCAAATGTGAAGCCTTGTGTTCAAATGACAATACTAGCAAAGAATAAAGGAAAGAAACTGGTGGGTGCAGGTAGCTCAAGCCTGTAATTCTAGCTACTCAGGAGGCTGAAATCTGGATAATGGTTGAAAGCCCGTCTGGGCAGGAAAGTCCGTGAGACTTCTATCTCCAATTAACCACCAGAAAACCCGAAGTGGCTCTGTGGCTCAAAGTGGTAGAACCCTAGCTTTGAGCAAGAGTTCAGGGGCAGCACCCAAGCCCTGAGTTCAAGCCCCAAGAATAATTAACTGTAATTAATTGAATACTTCCCCCCTCTTATCCCCCGTCCCCCAGACCTGGGGGTTAAACTCAGGGCCTGGGCACTTGTTCTGAGCTTCTTTTGCTCAAGGTTAGCACACTCCCCAGCACCACTTCTGGCTTCGTGCATGCTGGTCAAGCACTCTATTAAGTCACATTCCCAGCTAACCCCCTGGTTTTTAGCTGAGTCACCATTTGGATCGTATAAATACTGGGAAAAAATAGATGAAGGAAAGGATGACTGAATGCAAACAAAGGATAAAGGGGGAACCAATGCAACAGTGATACTCACAAGACACTAAGTTGGAAATGATCTGTACAACTTGGCAGGGGGCGAAGAGGGAAAGTGGGAGAAACATGAGGGAGGGGGTAACAAGTTCGACAAGAAATGGACTCACTACCTTACTTATGTGACTGTAACTCCTATGGACATCAGTGGCCCTTAAATTAAAAAAAAAAGAAAAATCATTGTACTATCTTAGGAGTATATGTATTGAGAAAAAAGCAAAACATCCCTTTCAAAGAAGTCTCAATGGTCCCTTTTTGAAGACTGCTTTGAAATTCGTGTCTAAAAAGCAGAGTGATTTAGCACTTGCGAGTACTCATCAGCTCCTGATCCAAACACATCGACTATTAGGGGTGGCCAGAAACCTCGCCTACAGCCCAGACTTCCTAACAAGGATTGCCAGAAAGTGCGAGCGACAAGTCCCTCCCCACCGCAGGCGCGAACCCAGTCTCCCTACGCCTCCTCCCCCGCCTCGTCTCAGTCAGGTGGACCATTCCGTGCCAAAGCCTGGACCAACCACAACCCCCCGCCTCGCCCCCCCTCGCCGCCTCGTCACGTGTTGCTGGAGCGTAACTCGGAGCCTTGCGGAATGACGCGGGCTCCAGTTGTCAAGGGGCGGGGCCAGGGGTGCGGAAGGGGCGTGGCGGAGGAAGCCGGTCGGGGGAGGCGGGGCGCGGAGGGTAGGGGCAGGGCGGAGGGGTGGGCGGGGAGGGCCGCGCGGGCGGGGCGGGCCCAGCGTATTATGGGATGCGGCGGTGGAATGGCGCTGGGCGCGTGATTTTGAACAAACCCCGGTCTGTGTCTCGGAGGCGCCGCCGCCGCCGCGGCTGCTGGGAGCCCGGGGAACGCGGCGCGAGAAGAAGGCGGCGGCGCCGCCGGCTTTGGTGAGTGTCAGTCCCCGAATTGGGGGCTTGGGCGAGCGGGCGGGAAGGGGCGCCAGCCCCCGCTGCGTGCGGGCGCGCGGGCGGAGAGCGCCCGGCCGCTGTCTCCGGCTGCCCGGGGCCGGTGGGCCGCGGAGCGGGAACCAGCCGGCGGGGAGCGCCGGTGGGGGCGCGGAGGGCCCGCGGGGCCCCGGGAGCGCGGCTGTCACTCGGCCGGCCCCGCGGGCTGGAGGGAGGCGGCTGTTGACACGCACACGCAGCTCGGCCGGAGGAGCCGCGGCGGCGGCCCCGGCTTCTGGAAACCGGTTTTGCTGCTGTGTCATTTCGCCGCAGCCCCTCCTTTCGCCGTCCCCGTCCACCCCCCCCCCCCTCCGCCCCTTCGTATGGGCGCCCCTCGGTGTGGTGTCCGTTTCCCTCGCGGAGCCCACCAGCCAAATGTCACCGTGTCCCCGAGGTGCTCGGGAAGGGAGCGGGCTGGGACCGAGCTTGGCCAAGCAACGGTAAACAGCCCCCGGACTGCGGGCTGGACGCGGCTGTGGGTGGGCACGTCCAAGTGTAAAGGTGAAGAGACTGGGAACCCGGTGGCCCTCCGCGTCTAGCAGGCTGCATCCGAAAACGAGGCTTGGAGTGGGTGGTACATGGCCCTCAGTTAAGTCTCAACCTGCTGACCTTTTTCTATGGAGTTGTCATCCAGACAAGGTAGGGAAATGGAATGGCTTCTGCTGACTCTTCTTACAGCAACTTAAAAGAAAAAAAAATGACAGTACTATGGCCTTGTTGGCAACCTTGAAATTCAGTTTGCTCCCTTCAGCTAGGTCTTGTAGAGTTTATGTGTGTAGTTGAATGGACCACAGTTGTATGAGTGCTTATTAAATCTTCCTGAAAGTAACAGAGGTAGCTGATTCTGTCAAAAGGTCGGTCTTACCAGAAGACCTGCAGGTGGTTTTCTTACCCGATGATTTAAAAAATACTTTTGCTCTCGTAGTTGCTTGTTGAGCTGACTCGTGAAAGGGGCTGTTAGGGGGTGCACAGGTAATTCTGGGGTCCTGTTCTAAAACAGGCTGTGTGTTTTCACTGCAAATATGTCAGTGGCAGACAGTGTTTAGTTTCGAGTTTTATTCTAACAACATGGGGTGAATTTAGCTAACAGTCTGTATTTTAGAATGAAAGTTTCCACAGTGGGAGCAACGCATTTTATATCCAGCGTCGCACTGTCATCCTAAATCACGGACAAGTCGGAAGTCAGTGTCCATAGACGAGGTAAATAAGTGGAGAGGAGAATGACCAGATAAGTGGAGAGGATCAGAGGATAAAAATAAATTTAGTAATCAAACATGTGGACTTTTGTATCTGCTTAAGGATCCGTGCTTGTAATTCTCTGGGGTGCCAGAGATCAGACGTGCGTTGGGGGAAGAGCTCCTTGCTGTCAAAGTAGTTTCAATGGTGGAGTAGAATTTCAGAGTTAGTGAGTTGACATTAAAGGGCTCCACAGTGTCTTCCTGGTCTGAGATGGATACAGGGAATGAAACACTTCCCACTGGCTTTCAAGTGCCTTTCTGAAAATGAAAGTGTCTGGGTTCTTTATTGTCCTCGTACCACCTTCCTCAAGGCCAGGGCTTTGCCAAAAGGAAAGATGCCGGACGTGGGACCCCGCGCAGTGCGACGCCTCTCGGCGCGCCGGCGGAGACCGGGTGTCTGGTCTGGGGGTGAAAGGTCTTGGCCCAGCCCCGCAGGTGAGCACTTGAACCCCGGCGCGCGAGTGAAGGCTGGCAGGGCCGGCGGGAGGTGTCCCCGGATATGTGGGTGTGCGCGGCGCGGCGCGGCGCGGCCGGGAGGGCGGGCCGGGGCGGGGAGGAGGAGGAGGAAGAAGGGGGAGGTGACTGACGGCGGCGGCGCGCCGGCCCGGGCTGGGCTGCCGGGGAAGCTGCTGAGCTGTGATGGTGATGACGAGGTGAAAATGGCGGATCTTTCGAAATACAATCCCGGCCCCTGACATACCAGAGGCGGCGGCGGCGGCGACCTCGCCACCCGGGCTCCCTCCTCGGCTCCTGGTTACCCTGTAGCACTCCAGTCCGGGCCAAGTGGGAAAGGAAGCAACTGGGCAGAGCTACTGTGCACGGGCAAAACAAGCACTACCCGGACTCGGGATTGCCCGGGACCTTCTGGAGCCCCCACCTCGGAGCCCCAGGGAGGAGCAAGCGGCAGCCGCTGGAGGTAGAGGAGGACGGGGTACCCGAGGACTTGGCTGTCTGGAGGTCGCTGTTATTTGGGGAGATGTGGGTGGGTGGAGGAGGAACTGCGTGTGATCCGGGAATGACTTGTCCGGAGTGCAAAGGATCGGTAGCCTCGTAATGACATCAACATTATTCTCTGAGTATCAAGAGGGCTCGAGTTTGCTTTTATACCTCAGGCTGCCGCTGAGGCCTAGAGGAACCGCTAGTGCTTATCATGATTTCCTGATGTGATACCAAAATATCCACTCTGACGGGTGTTGTGGGCTTGGTGGTATCCAGCAGTCTTATGGGGTTGCATGTTCCTTTAGGGAGGCAAAGCATTGGCATTTTCTTCTGCATTTTAGGTCCGACTTAGATCACAGTCTATAACTTGTTGGGGGTGTGGAGCCTCACATCTTTTGAGCATATGGACCAGTTTTGTAGCAATCGATTAAAAACCGTTTTTGCCTTTCTTTATTTTTGATATTATGGGTCTGTCAACCAAAGAGTGGCCTTTATGCTCCTGCCAATTGGCAAATAATAATTGAGATACTGTCAGTCATATTTTATACCCATGCTGTTCAGGGAAATTCTTCACTCGTCCCTTCCAATTTCATGAATTCAGAGAATAAAGTTATGGAAGATTTTACACTAGGCTGTATTCCATGGGAAATTCAATTCAGGAATCTATTTTGGTCATGAGTTTTACTTCCATTGTCAAAGGGAGGCTGCCATGGCCTGATGGAAGCCTTGGTTGAGATTAGATGTGAGACCACTAAGTTGGTAGAGAAAGTGAGACCTCTGCTGTATTCTAAGAGATGATTGACTGTATGATGGACACACTTTACATTTCTTAGATTATGTAAAGATGCATATGTATGTTGCAGGATCCCTAAGCAGTCTATTTCCTTGCACATGAAAGGAATGTTACTGAAAGGTTACATAGTAATCAATTTTTTATAAATTAATTTAGGATCCTCTTTTATTCTCCACACCTTCAGCAGTGCAAGATTGGTCAGCAACGTTGAGTGTTTGAAAGTAACAGATTAATACTTAAGAAATGCCCAATAGTAACTAACACTTTTGCTTACCAGTAAATTCCCTTGTTCAAATTGCGGAAGAGTAACAGACGTTATATAGTGCTGTACATTGTATTTTGTATTTAGGAGGGAATTAGTTTATGGAAATGTGTGAATAGTTTAGACTTCTGGCTTTTTCTTTTTTTTTGGTTGGTTGTGGGGCTCAAGGGAGCCCTCTAACCACTTGAGCCATAGTGCTACTTCCGGTTTTCTAGAGGTTAACGAGGTAAGAGTGTCAAGGACTTTTCCTGCCTGAGCTAGATTTGAGCCGTAATCCTCAGATCTCAGCCTCCTTAGTAGCTAAGATTACAGGCGTAAGCCACTGGCGCCCTGTGCTTCTGGCTTTTATTCACTATAAAAATTAATGACCCAAAAAGTTTCAGAGGAAATATTTGAGAAGTGCTTAGAATATCGAATAATTATTAAAATACATGTCATTAAATATTTAATATATCATGCTTAATATAAATATTTCATTAACATATAGTTTGATATTGCATTACATAATAGGAACTGGATCTCTCTTTTTTTCTTTTTTGTCGGTCGTGGGGCCTGAACTCTGGGCCTGGGCGCTGTCCCTCAGCTCTTCAGCTCAAGGCTAGTGTCCTACCACTTGAGCCACAGCGCCACTTTGGCTTTTTTTCTGCTTATGTGGTGCTGACGAATCAGACCCAGGGCCTTATGCATGGGAGGCAAGCACTCTACCACTGAGCCAACTTTCTAGCCCCTGGATCTTTGTTTTTTAATTATACTTTTCTGTTGCAATTATTTGGTTCATGCCAACTGAGTTTATTTAGTAATAGAACTAAGATTTAAAAGCTAGATATATTAAAGTGTTTTCAAATTAGTTTACTTAGTTTGTTAGTTTGTTTGAGTCAGGTTTTTACTTATATTGCCCAGGCTGATTTCTGACTCACAAACTACCTATCTGAACCTCCCAGGTGCTGGAATTTTAGGTGTGTATTACTATGTCCAGCTTTAGATTTTCTTTCCTGTTCTGCAAACTGTTATATGTTGCACATCCTAATCTGAAACGCTAAGATCCAAAATGTTTTACTCAGAAAGCTTCTGATTTGGGAGCATTTCAAATTTGCTGATTTGGTTATGCATAACAGTAAAGTTGGGAAGTGGCGCTGTAGCTCAAGTGGTAGAGCGCTCGCCTTGAGTTGAAGAGCTGAGGGACAACGCCCAGGCCCAGAGTTCAGGCCCCACGACCGACAAAAAAAAAAAAAAAAAAACTATATAGAACAGTAAAGTTGATGCAAATATTCCAAAATCTGAAAACTTGGAATACTTCCTTTTTGAGAATGGATAGTCAGCTTGCACTGGGTATCTTTTATGGGTCATACACTATGCTAGAGATAAGAGCTGAAAATAACCTCAATATTATCATCTCAGGGAGTTTTCAGTTTAAGAACAGTTAGCATGGGGCTCAGACCTGTGATCCCAGCCCTCAAGAGATGAAGTTAGGAGAATCAAAAGTTCTAGGCCAGCCTGAGCTACCCAGTGAGACCCTGTGTTAGAAGTCTTCCTCTAAAAAGGGAAGGGAAAGGAGGGGGGCTTATTGCTAGAAGTTTTTGTTTGTTTGTTTTTGTTTTTATTTTCACTAGGATAGTGATAGTCTCCTGAATATTCCTAAGGAGATAAACTCAGTAAAGTTTAGGTGTATGGATGTATTGTAGATGAGGGGAGTCAGGGATAAAAATATCATAGTAGGCTCTAAGCTTTATAAATTAGTGTTGGTTGCAGAGGGATATAGTCATTGAGAAGTTGTAATTTTATGTTATTTGAGATGTCATAGATGACACATTCTTAAACTCTGGTGTTTGATAGGATATTGGCTGTCATAAAATGTAGAAAAATCAGGAGAGGCTAATTTATTTATTTGTTTATTTATTAATTATTATTACTATTATTTGGGTCTGGTCGTGGGGCCTGAACTCTGGGCCTGGGTGCTGTCCCTCAGCTCTTCAGCTCAAGGCTAGCGCTCTACCACTTGAGCCACAGCGCCACTTCCGGCTTTTTTCTTCTTGCTTATGTGGTGCTAAGGAATTGAACCCAGGGCCCCAGGCATGCAAGGCAAGTGCTCTACCACTGAGCCACCTTCTCACCCCAATGAAGAGGCTAATTTAGAGAAGCAGGAAAATAATTTGTGTTACAGTGTACCTATAATCATCTTCATAGTGACTTGTAAATAAACTGAGGCTCAGATAATTGCCTGAGATTGCATGATAAGCAAGTAGGGGGCCCAAGATTTGAGAATGAGTCTTTATGATTAGACTCCTGTATTAATCTGTTTTTGTTTGTTTGACACATTCCCCTATGTAGCATAGGCTAAGTTCAAATTCATGATCTTCCTGCTTTAGCCTCAGTATAGTAATCTCAGGGGTTTTTTTGTTTGTTTTGGTGTCTGTTCTTGAGGTGTTGTCCCTGAGCTTTTGTTCTCAAGGCTAGCACTAGCACTTTATACTGCTTTAGCCATAGCTTCATGATGCCTTTTCTTTGGCGATTAGTTGGCAAGAGGGGTCTTATAGTCTTTACTGCCTGGGCTGACTTTTTTTTTTTTTTTTTTTTTGATCTGTTGTGGGGCCTGAGCTCTGGGCCTGGGGGGCTGACCCTGAGCTCTTCAGCTCAAGGCTAGCGCTCTACCACTTGAACCACAACACCACTTCCAGCTTTTTCTGCTTATGTGGTGCTGAGGAATGGAACCCAGGGCCTCATGCACGCAAAGTAAACACTCTACCACTGAGCCACCTTCCCAGCCCCTGCCTGGGCTGACTGAACAGAATTTGTCAGATCTCAGCATCCTGAGTGGCCAGGATTGTAGGCGTGAGCCATGGGTGCTCAGCACAACTTCATTTCTAAAGGAAACAATTGTGAATCCCTAGTAGTCACCTAAATTATGAAGGTATTTAGGTAAATTTTTAGATAAAGTAGCAAAACTATCAAATCAAATTTAGATTGATATTGTTTTACTGAAACTCAATCCTCCCCTCCCCCCTTTTGACACAGTGTCTTACTGTATAGCACAAACAGGCCTCAAATTCTTTATTTGCCTGCTTTACTGGTGCTGGGATTACAAGAATGCAATACTATGCTTGGCTTGTAACTAAATCTTTCTTTGTATTGTAAATATACTATTGTCTGCCTTGACATAAGTATGCAGTTTTCTATATCATATTTATCCCATGTTTACTCAGTTCATAAACCATTCTTCTATGTAGTTTGAACAGTACAGAACTTTTCTCTTTATGCTACAGGTTAAGTGGTTTGGCTTTTACTTGGCAAAAATGTCATTTACTTTACAGGTTCTGTCTCTTTTTCTCTAGTCTGTAGTCTTTCTCATATCCTTGAATTTTCACATCCTTGATTTTGACTGTGGAATGGCTATGTAACTGATTCAGATTATGCTTTTAAAAGAATGCTATCAAAATGAAAGTGTGGGCTGGCAATGTGGCTTAGTGGTAGAGTGCTTGCCTAGCATGAAGCCCTGGGTTTGATTCCTCAGTACCACATACATAGAGAAAGCCAGAAAAGTGGCTCTGTGGCTCTAGTGATAGAGTGCTAGGCTTGAGCAAAAGTAGCTCAGAGACAGTGCCCAGGCCCTGAGTTCAAGCCCAGGGACTGGCTCCTCCTTTCCTCCCCCCCCCCCCCCAAAAAAAAAGGAAAGAAAAGAAAATCAAAGTGCTAATCTTTCAAATCTTCAGCAGAAATCAAGTGTAGTTCACTGTTTCCAGTTGAGTTTGAGAAATACAGTTTTGTACCTGCTTTTTGAATTGTTGGTGTTTGGGTTTAGAAAGCAAAGGTAAAATCTAAGTTGTATATATAACTAGTGCACTTAAATACTCACATCATTCTATCTAAACATATTACAGATTACTTGCTCATCAGTTCTACAGCAATGGGTCTTGTTATATTCATG